AAAGTGGTTTGTGGGCAAAGGGATGGTATTCTTCTGAAAGCAGGCAATTTGAAAAAGTAAGAGCTCTGAGAACAGTGAACTCAACCTGTATTCTGAAAACCTTTCATGGCGCTTTGATTTCATTAACTGTGAAAATTAGACTTATTCTTAATTCAGCCAAATATGAATTACTTATGAATGTCTGATTTCCCTCTTCACAGCTGGAGGGGACTTCTCTGGTGCATCAGCCACCTACCTCACTCTCCCCATAGAGTTTGTAAAGTGAAATAATATTTTCCATTCCCATCCACATTTACTTTTTCGTGCAGACTTGCACACGTGAGGAGAAACATCCTGCTGTTGGAGGCTTCTTCAGACGCAGCATTTGAAAACAGTTTGAAATATGCAGAATAATAATAGCAGTGATAGTTTATATTATTTGTTAAGTGTGCTTTCCCACACTATTTCATTCAATCCTCGTAACAGCCCTCTGAGCGAGATGTTATTTTTGCCATCCCTGTTGAATAGGTGAGGAAAAGGAAGCTTAAAGAGCTTAAGTAACGTGTCCAAAGTCACACACTTAGCAAATCTCATTTGGAAACCAGGTGTACTGACCCCCATGGTCCTTACACTGCAATTCTGCCTAAAAACATCGCTTAAAGGGACTTTTCTGTCAAGTTGTGGGTTTGGGAGTGGATAAGTCCCAGATATTCTTTATTTTTTAAAAAATTAATAGCATACTAACTAGTGGAAATTTCAAAGATGTTATGGTAGAATGAATTCATATTTTATATTCAATTTAAGGCAAGGAGAATTCCTTCATTCTTTCAGTATGTATTAATTACAAATACTGATTGACAAAATTTAGAGATGAGAGTCATATATAAATTAAATCACACTAATTTGGTGACAAAAGGCCCTGTTAATCTTGAGCATCCACTGATGAAATGATTAGCAATCATTAAATATATATTGATTGCTACTGTGTTATGTACTCTTCAGAACAAATACTGGTTCTCCTTGGTTCAACTTTTCAGGAGCTTTTGCCATATTAATGTCTTTGCTAAATTCATACCTTGCTATTTTAGTTTATAAGTTCTTAAGATCCAAGGCTTTCCCTCTTTTACACAAGGAGAGAATAATATGGGAACCAAGCATTTAATCAAATGATTCTTTTCTTACTTGGAGTAGTTCTTGAAGTTAATTTGAGTTGCTTCCATAGCCTCCAGCACAGCTTTTGAATATCCATGATGGCATATGGTGTTTGGGATTTGGAAGCAGTTGAAAGTCATTTTGGTAGACAAGTTAGCTAGTGGGTAGTCCTATTTTTAGTTCCAAATCCCAAACGATCAAGTGGAAAACAGAACAAAACAAAAATGTGATTACCAAGTGATCAGGCTGGTTTTCTCAGAAACGTGAATTTCAGTGGAGAAATGACCCATTAATACCTTGATCATGTATACCACCCCACTATTGTAATAGACATAGTCCCCCAGCAGAAATTGCTTTTAAAGATACTTTTTTTCGCATATGTGCCTATGTTTGCTTAAAATATCTATTTAATCATTTGTTGTAAGTATCCCCTTTGCTTAGATTCATGTATTTGAATGGTCTTTCTTGCTATTAAAATTAAGAATAAATATTTGAAATTCAGAGGGTAGCAATGATGAACTTACAGAAATCGGCTGTCTTCTAGACCTTAACTGTGAACAGGAATTAGCCTTTCCGAAGAATTAGTTGACACATTGTACAGTTCCAGTAAGACTGAGTCCATGTCACATCTGTGAACATCACGTGTGTTTGAGTTGGACTGTGTCTAGGATACCTTCAGGCCATTCAAGTGTGAAAAAGACTCATATTAAATATGAGGCTTCATTTTGTTGGAAGAAAAGAGGAGTTTAAAAATAATGAGAAAGCTTTGGTTATGTTGTAATGCCCTATAGGATTAATAACTTTTTTTAAATAATATTAAACTTTAGAATTTCGATTTTACTTCAGATATAGAAACGCACAAGAAAATATTGCTCCCACTTGAACCATGAGGAAAAAGATGGATAACCTATGCTATCATACCTTTTATTTTCACTTCATCAGAAACCTGAGGTCTACAGGCAGTCCGGTGATAGAAATTCCAAGGAGAGAAGGGACACATCATTATTTTGTCTTTGGCAGAGCCCAAGCTGAAGGGTTAGTAGCCATCAAAGAAGATATAAAGAAAACAACTCAGTTTTTGTGAATCTTCAAAAACTACTGAAGTATGGGCTAGCATAATTTCAAATTCCCGGGAACCCCAAACATAGAGAGGATCTGTATCTACTTGTCACCTTTTGCCACTGGCCTTCACTAGATACTCATGGGAAAGATTGGAAGTGGGGCAGGAAACCAGAGAGCCCCTCACGGGTGCCAGCATGCATGTGACGATCAATACCCCTGGGAGACAGACACACAATCCCCCGGTGTCCCAGCACTGCTGTCACAGGACGCAAACGCTGTCATATAGGCAGGGGATGGGCAGGAAGCCTGACCGAACCCGTGGACCCAGGCAAAGATAGGCAGTTGTTGGGATTAAGGAGAGAAAATATAATCTCCCAGCCCAGCACTGTGGCTAGATCAATCCTCTTTGCATGAAGGGAGGGGTGGGGAATTCACTTGAGCTCGGGAACTGAACTGATGTTAAATTGAGGTCTGCCGGAGCTGAAGAGGATCAGGTTGGACCCAAGACCCAGCAACAATGCTAGGTAGCAATTGGCTGTTACTCATGTGTGGAAGAGGTAGGAATGCTGAGAAAGCCTCACCTCCGAAGGTCACCTTCACAAGGTCTGTCAGCGGCCAAGGCTGTAGCCAAGGAGAATAAAGCAAACGCATTTTGACCCCACCATGAGACCGACATGGAGTAACAAGCCTGAATCTGGGGAAGGAACATGGACACAGGGGGAATCATTTGTTGTATAAATGTGGAGTGGGAACACTAAGAAAAACCCTCCATTATTAAGGGGTACAAACTTCCATTTATAAAATAATCAGAGAAATATAGTGTATAGGCAATATTGTCACTACTATCATAACTTTGTTAGTGACAAGTGGTTACTAGGCTTATCACGGTTATCACTTTGTAAGGTATGTAATTGTCTCTTATGTTGTACACCTGAAACAGATATAGTATTTCAACGAAAATTTTATAAATTCCCCCCCAAATAAATATTTTAAAATTCCACCCCGCAAGAACCACTGCACGCACACACATTTGTCACTCAGACCTCCCACACAGGACAAAGCGGCTGGAATGGACCACTGAAAGAGTTCATAGTGCTTGCTGCACTGAAGGTTACCGTAGCAGCAACAAAACACAAACCCACCTCAGCAACTTTTAGATTGACTCAGTTACATGCAATAATAGCTTTACAATGGAAGAGATATGCCCGTTCAGGAGGTAAATGTAGGTTACCTCAGTCTCAGCTGTTCTTTCGTATACAATGTTTTTGCATTTAATGAAAAAATTACAAGATATACAAAAGAAAAAGGAAAAAATTACCTACCAAAAGAAAAAAGTCACTAGAACTAAACCCAAGAATGGCTAGGATGTTACAACTGTCAGATAAGAACTTCAAAAATAGCTGTTAATTATAAAATATATACCATCCTAGCGTAAGATATTAATAATGGGGGAAACTGGTATGGGTTTATATTGGAACTCATAGTACTCTTTTTAATTTTTCTGTAAATCTAAAACTGTTCTAAAAATAAAGTTTATTAAATGTTACATTGTTAAGGAATACACTTAAAATATATTGTTAAGGATATAAAAGGTCAAGCCAGAGACTGGGAGAAAGAATTTGCAAAGTGCCTATCTGATAAAGGACTAGTAACTAGAATATATAAAGAACTCTTACAACTCACTAATAAGAAGAAAATCATCTCAACAGGAAAATGGACAAACATTTATAGCTTCTCTAAACAAGATATATGGATTTCAATTATACACATGCAAAGATATTCAACATCATTAGTCATTATATAAATGCAAATTAAAACCACAGTGAGATACCATTTGTATGGCTAGAATAAAAAGCCTGTCAAAACCAAGTGCAGTTAAGACTATAAAGCAAGTACTGTGCTGGTGTGGCTCAGTGGATTGAGCACTAGCCTGCAAAACAAAGGGTCACTGGTTCAATTCCCAGTGAGAGCACATAGCTGGGTTGCAGGCCAGGTCCCCAGAGGCAGGTGCACAAGAGGCAACCACACACTGATGTTTTTCTCCTGCTCATTCTCCCTCCCTTCCCCTCTGTCTAAAATAAATAAATAAAAATCTTAAAAATAATAAGAATTATTTTTTAAAAAAACAATATGAAGCAAATAGAACCCATACATTTCTGATAAGGATGCAAGATGGTCCAGCCGCTCTGGAAAACAGTTTGGCAGTTTCTTATAAAGGTGAACAGAAGCGGCCCTGGCCAGTGAGGCTCAGTTGGCAGGAGCACTGACCTGTGGCCAAGGCATTGTGGGTTTGATTCCTGGTCAGAGCATGTACTCAGATGGTGGGTCAGACCCCTAGTCTAGCTGTGTACAGGAGGCAGCTGATTTGTTTCTCTTTCTCCCTTCCTCTCTGCCTTCCTCCGTCTTTAAAAGCAATGAAAAAAAATGTCCTCAGGTAAGGCTGATAAAAAAATTTTTTTAAAGGTGAACAGACATTCACCATATAACCAAGCAGATTCACCCATAGCTCTCTACCCAGGAGACATTAAACATATACCTATACAGTACCCTGTATATGAATACACATAGAAGCTTTACTTAAAATAGCCCAAACTTGAAATAACCCAAATTTCCATCAACTTGCGAATGGAAAACAGACTGTCATATTTATAATATGAAATACTCTTGAGCAAGAAAAAAGAACAGATTACCAATACATGCAATAACATGGATAAACCTCAAAAGCATGCAAAATGAAAGAAACCATACACGAAACACTACATAGTAGATGATTCCATTTATATGATACTCTAGAAAAGACAAAACTAGTGTTCACTTTGGCAGCACATATTCTAAAATCTGAGTGGTACAGAGAAGTCTACCATGGCCCCTACTCAAAGATGATGTGCAAATTTGTGAAACATTCCATACTTTTATATCGATTCAAATTGTTCTATATAAAAATGCTGTTGAAAGGTACAGCAGAGTTACCCTAGTATCTTTTTATTTTTACCTGAAACTTTGAATCCTTTCTTAAGACTATAGCAGGAAAACAGTGTACTTTTTAATACTTGCTGGATATAAAGTGTTTGAAAATTTTAATTTTCTTTTATGTATGCAGTCTCAAAATATGAGGGGGGTGGAATACAGCAGATCAAAACTAATTTTTTTGTAGATAGCCAACATTTCTTCAAACTGTTTCAGTACCAATATATGTTATACAAAAGAGAATGGTTTCCTAAATTAACTGATTTAAGGGTAGGTGCTAATGTTATACACCTTTTTTTAATAAAAAATAAAATATAAATTTTACATAGTGAAATTCACTGGATTGCATAGAAAAGGAGGGTAAATTATTGTATGCAAATTATATCTCTACAAATATGTCAAGAATGCTATTAAACTCTATAAGAACATGTGGTAGCTTCTCAGAAAATGATTTATAATGTAATTAAAAAACATTTGGCAATTTCTGTCTATGATAATGCTATCTGAGGGACCTCGAACCAATTACTTTCTTCTGGGGACCTTAGTTTCCTTAACTATAAAATGGGATAAGAACTGTACATATGTGATTTTTGTTTTGTGATAATTTAATTAAATAGAACACATAAAGGGCTTAGAAAACCCCCCAGAACATGGTAAGTACTCCAATACTGTTATTTGTGACAATGTTGATGTTGCTTTAACTTCTACCTATACTAGGGGACTAAGGCATTAGATCTCCAAGTATTCTTGATGACCTAAAGTAAGAATTTAGATACATGCTAGTCTTTTACTCCAAACCTGATGTTTGGTTATGCTGTTGCATAGACGCATTTCTGCATTTATTCAAAATATTTTTATTGAGCACTCTCTGTCTCTGTTAGGGGGTGGAATTACCTTGAAAGACAAGACTCAGTCTGTGTCCTCAAAAACGAAGCGGGGGAACAGAGCGGTCAGTGAGGGATTCCAGGGCATTCACTGCGGTAGGTGTGGTGAGTGGGCGAGGGAGCCTGTTGTGGGAGTCTCTGGAGTAGGTGTCTCCTCCAAGGGACAGGAAGATTTTATGAAGGTGACGATAATAGGGCTGACCCGTGAAGTGGTGTGTGCTGGAGGCAAGCTGGTCATCAATTTTGCCTTTTTAAGAGTTTTTGGGAAGTCCATGGAACACTACTACAAAAAAAAAAAAGAACTTAATCGGTGTGAATAGTATATGATCTTTTAGTAACTCAGTTGATAGCCAAAGTATAGGCAGCTAGAGGTTACAAGGGATAGGATTCTTTTTCCCATTTTTGACTTGGCTCTGTTAGTCTCAATGGAATGGTCCAGCTCACACCACAGCCGTCAACATACTAAAGAGAGCAGTTCAGATTCTGAATTGTGGTGTGAACCGCAGTGACTGGTTTCTTGAGGCAAAAATCAGTTGACACCTATGTCACAAAATTTGATGAAGAGAGAATCATCTGTCAGCCTCCATTAGAGAAGCACCAGTGACTGTCAGAATTTCTGATTGTGGCTGACAAATTCTGCGTCTTGAGTGCGATCAGTCTGTTGATACATGCATCTACAGGTACCAAAACACACTGAGACAGCTAGCACACCTTCTGGAGAAACTAGGTGGTTTTAGGATGGTGATAAGACATCAGTCTGGACATTCGTCTTAAAGTTCCATTGGACAGATACAGGGACAGCCCCTGGCCATTACTCTTGGATATGCCAGAGACCACACCTGGCCTTTTGACATTTCATTGGTGGCACGTACACACCACTCTCTTCAAATGGCCTTCCAATGAATTCCTGAGGTGGAGTTCACTGGTGATAAAATGGGCTTGTTGCCATTCAGCTAAAAAGCATGAACAGTTGCTGATAGAATGGAGAACAGTGTTTTGCAGGAAAAATATTGTAAACTTAGTAATTTTTAGGCTTAGATTTGGTGAGTTTCATATTTTTGTTTAGTTCTGCACTACAGCATATTACTGATTATTATTAATTAACATTTTACCATATTTTGCCATGTATACTGCACACTTCTTTTGCCCCAATTTTTGAGGGAAAAACAAGGATGTGTATTATACATGGGTAGTACTAATTCCGTATCTATATAAATGTTTTTAATTCTTTTACTTATGTTTATGAGTTAAAAGTGTAACTCTAGAAAGCAATAATGATATCCATATGCAAAATAACACCCTGGAATATGATAATCAGTTTTGTTTCTAAATATAAATAAATACAAAATTGAATTAAAAAGTTAAAATGAAGGATTTTTTTCATGAAAGTTTTGGCAAAAAATGTGGGTGCACATTATACATAGGAGCGCATCATACACGGCAAAATATGGTAATTCCATTCAGCAAATATTTATTGAACACCAAGAATATGCAAATCAACGTTAGGTGTTAAGTGGGGAATTCAGAGGTAACTAAAGTATAAATTGTGCCCTAATGGAATTTATCTCTATGCCTGTGTCTACTTCTGTCTCTACCTGTGTCTCTGTCTTGGTATCTGTCCCCTGAGTGTGTGTGTGCGCTCTACCTTTGTCTCTGTCTCTGTATAGGCCTTGAGCATGTATGGGCATGCACACACACAAATACGTCCACAAATTTGTATGTAAGAAATATATATAAGTAAGTATACATAACATTTCAGTATGATCTGAATGCCAGAATGAAGTATAAACCAAGTTCTATGGAAGCACCAAAAAGAGCTATTCATTTTGGGGACTTGGAGGCTCTTTAGAGAGTACCTGGCCTGGGAAAGATAGACCGGGTTTCACTTGGCAGGGCCACATTGTGGACTAGGAGCTGGAAACTGATGGCACTAGACTGTGGGCTCTACAAGGATCTTATCCGTTTACAAACTTTTTTTATATTTAGCACCCTGCTACAAATCTTTAAATGAACGTATGCATGTATCAAACAGGAGAAGCAAAATCGCAGAGCGAAGAAACTACCAGGAGAGGCTGGGGGGGTGGTCCACAGCGGGTAGTACAGGATGGAGGCCAGTGGTTATGTGGTGGAGGGTGCAGCTCCGGATTGGCCTGGGTTGTTGAGGGACTTTCCTGTGGTGCTGAGGAGTTTAAAATTTATTCCACCAACTGGGACCTGTCAGATATATTTGACCTGGAGAGTTACCTACTCCTATATATTTTTATAATACTCTGTCATACTTTTTACCATATTTTGATTTCTTTCCCATTCTCTCCTCAGGAAGTCTTCATCTCTTCATCCACAGGTAACCCATTTATTTTGTGCCCCCTTACCTTTTATCTTCTGAGCTTTGGTTTAAAAAACTTTGTCTGTTACTCTGCTCCCTTGGTAAGCAATTAACTTTTCTATTTGTATTGGTCAGAAGCATATAACTCATGCACAGGGCAATCCTGAAATGATTGAACATAGATTTAATCACTGACTTTTAATTTGCTTGGGCTGCCATAACAGGATACCACAGCCTGGGTGGCTTAAACAACAGAAGTTTATTTTCTAACATACCTGGAGGCGAGATAGGAGTTGAAGATCAAAGTGTCGGCAGGTTTAGCTTCTTCTGAAGTGTCCCTCCTGGATTTGCAGGTGACCATCTTCTCACTGTGTTCTCACGTGGTCACTCTCTGTGTGTTGTCTGTGCGCTAATCTCTTAAGGTCCCTTTCTTATAAAGACACCAGTCATGGTTTTAGGACTCATCCATATGTCCTTATTTTTCCATAATTACCTTTGTCAAGGTCCTGTCTCTACTACAGTCACATTCCGAGATACCAGAGGGTAGGATTTCAACCTATTCATTTTAAAGGGGAACACAATTCAGCCCACAGCACTGACCTAAGGAGCTTTATCTATGCTCTACCGCCTGGCAAGAAGTCATGTTGGGGGTTAAGTCAATCCGGATCACATATGGTAGGAACCTGAGCTTGAATCTAATGGCTCAGAAGCTGATGGAACTAGATTGTTGCCTAGTAAAAGTGCTTCCTTCTGAAGAGGTTGGTCTCTAGCACATCCAGGAGCAGTCCTATTACAATCATCTTAAGTAAGTTTGGAAACCATGACCATAAATCCATAGCATCATTGTATGACATTTACTAGAGAATAACGAACAAAACAAATGCTAAACAGTTCAGTTAATGGGATCCCAGGCTCTCAAGTCAGATGCACCAGGCTCCATCATTTTTGATCTGTATGACCTCAGGCAGATGGCCTAACCTTTCTCTACCACTCTTTCCTTATCTATAAATGCAAGCTAATGTTGTTTCCTACCCGTAAGATTGTTCTAAGGGTTCAATGAGAAAAATATATATCGGGCACTTAGCATAGTCCTTGATATGTAGTAAGCACTCAGTAAGTTTACTAAACTAGTAAGTATTCAATGTTAGCTATTATTAAAAATGAAAACAAATCTATTCACAGGTATATTAGCAACAGAACTGTTAGCAAAATATTAGCCTTTGCAGCCATATTTATGCAAATTGAAGAAATAAGTTTTCTTAAGTTGGCAATCATATGTTCCAAATGTTTTACAAGCATCATAAGTATTGTTTTGTAACCTTATCAAATAAAGTGGGCTATTTATTCCTGTGTTATACTATTATAATGTCTTTTTTCTTGGCCTTATTCTAGTAGTTTGATGAATACCAATTTAAATGTAACTTAGGTGGATTTCTCTTCTGGACTTGAACATCTAACTCTGTTAATAGTATAAACTTTAAGTGTCTCACTTATGAGGTATGCACACAAATAAGTTATTACTTTATGTTGTTAATATACACAGGAACATTGGATGTCGTTATTGCTTCATTGCAGATGATGTCATAGGAGTTTTGCATAAAGTGAAGGTAGTACTCAGAAAATGCAGAAAACACTCATCAGGAAAGATTTCATTGGACCTTTTATACTTCCTGCCCACTTTATCTCTACTTTAGAATAAAAGCAGTCAGTGAATATTAATACTTCCCATGTCACTTA